GGGTCATGTGATCAACCTCTTGAAACTCTCCGACAAGCAAACTCAACGGGGCAGCCAGATTCCCTTAACCACCACGTTCCTAGCTTAACGACTGCAGTGATGCACTTAACAAGTGTGGCGAGGAAAGTCGTAAAAAGCTTAGCCACAGAAATTTGGGGCTTTTATTTGTGGCTGCAAACTGAGGACTACCTGTCCTTGGCTCGATTGCACAAGGTTCAACCAATCCATTCAGTTTATTACAGCCATAGACCAGAGACCAGAACAAATAAAAACGCTCAGTAAATATACAACTAAAAATTCTAGTATAAAATAATAAATAACTAAAATCTATGATAAAATCCAGTCTGTCAATTATACATGGTCTAACTCAGGGATCCTCAAACTTGGCAACTTTTAAGACTTGCGACCTTCAACTCCCAGAATTCCTCAGCCAGCACAGCTGGAAGTCCACAAGTCTTAAAGTTGCCAAGTTTGGAGACATCTGGTCTAACTATACTAAAATTACAATCCAATTTTAACACAGGGTTAAAAACTCCCATCTGGAAGTAGGCTAGATGGCCAAGATCTCAGCAGGTATCCAAGACAGGTAGAGAGGACCTGTCTTCACCTTCGCTACAAGATAATAGTTCATCTGGAGATCTGCAGCTCAGCATTGGTAGCTGAGTTTAGTTTAGTTTACTTTATTGTCATTGCACCTCGTACAATGAAATCAAACACCACCTTCAGCGTACATTACGACTATGAAAATAAACATAAACACACATCCTTCACATTCTATACATTGAATTGAAAAACCCCGATATTGCATTAGTATTGCACTATACAGTAGAATTCAATAGAGTTACTGCCCTGGGGTAGAAGCTGTTTTTCAGCCTATTTTGTCCTTGTTTTTTTTTTTTTTATTATTCTCCTGTACCGTCTGCCAGATGGTAATAGTTCAAAAAAAGGGAGCCCAGGATGAGATGGATCTTTGAGGATGTTTTGAACTTTCTTAAGGCAGCGGGAGCTATAAAGCTCTTCCAAAGAGGGGAAGAGGGCAACCAATGATCCTCTGGGCAATGACGTTTACCCTCTGGAGTGCCGTCCTATCTGCCCCTGTGCAAGTGGCAAACCATACACAGGTGCAGTAAGCTAAGATACTCTCTCTGGTGCAGCAGGAGAAAGGTAATTACAGCCCGTTTACCACCTATGGACGTCAGCTCCCAGAATTCCTGCACCAGCCATGCTCTGCTTGAAGCAGAATCCAGGAAGCAACAGACACTGGAGAATGTGGCAGAAGAGAATACTTACGTTTTCAGGAGATTGTACTCCATCACTAACAGGCGTCTCTGGGCGGCTTGCTTCTTTACCTCTCCGTTTCTTTTTGGCCCCCGCTGTGGACACAGGGCTGTTTTTCTGCTGATATTCTTTTAGCTGAGAAAAAAAAAGGTTGAAAGGTTTGAAATTAATCTAAGCTGAAGTTGGAACAGTCTCCATGCAAAAGTAAAAGATGGCAAAGAAAGGTTTTTTTAAAAAAAACAAACATGGTACCCTCGGGAAGAGGAGGAAATGGATCGAATCGACTGATTATTCAGGTGATTTTCCCTGAGTTGATACTACAGGGTCCCTACAGTTTGAAAAACTGCTTGTAATGTTAGATCTCCTAATCCGTTAGTTTCCGTTAGGTGACATTTTAACATTTCTACTGATGTGGTTGCACCCTTTCACAAGCTAGTTTCCTGTTTCATTCCTAGCAAAAGTGGCAAGGAAAAAATACCCATATATATATTTGGAAACTTATAAAACAGGCTTATAGAGGAATCAACATAAGTCTTCAAACAGCCCCCCCCCCCCCCCCCAACATGTGAAACTACGATTCAATCCAAATTTTGCAAGCATTTACTTCATATTCTCATATAACCTTTTTGTTAGCTATTAGATTGGCAGAGTTGGAAGGGACCTTGGAGGTCTTCTAGTCCAGCTCAAGCAGGCAACCCTATACCATTCCAAGCAAATGGCTGTCCAATCTCTTTAAAACCTCCAGTGATAATTTAGCATTGGGGTAAGTTCTTACCCACCAAACTGAATGAAATTCACCAGCTACATTCAATAGCCAGGCAGCAAGTTAAGAAATTCACTATGACCCACAGAGAGTCGAATCAAAAAGTCTCTACTTTTCATACTGTACCTTCAACAAAATAAATATTCCAGGCCTTTTAGAGTTCTACTCTATAAAACCAGGCCAAAATATTATTTCCTAAAATCCGCTGCCCTGCATAGACAAGTCAGCCACCCACGCAGGTCACACATGATTAAACAGCTTGGGAGCTAATCTTAGTTGATCTCCACACTAGGAGAAAATTTTACTATCTCGGTGTTATAGTAACCAATTTCAACAGCTAGTTTTTAGAACCACACGCTAGGGTTGGTTTTCAAGGCATTCCAGATGATCCTGCCTTTATTTCAGAAAGAAAGCGCCACCCAAAAGGCACCTCATGAAAGAAGCATTCTTCCTAAACGCCACAAAGTCAGCACGTGCCATGGACAGCCGTCTCTTTTATCCAGGAAATTTGGAAAAAAACGCCTGGAGTTTTCGGCATGCAAAACTCTCACCTGATAGACGTTTCACCTGGCTTACAGGCCATTTAGGTTTCAGGGTATGCTGATTTAGCCACGAACACCTTCAAGAGCTAAAACTGACTTATGACCCACAAAATTGAGGCCAACATTTACATTGCTAAGTGAGACCTTTGTTAAGTGAGTTTTGCAACATTTTTACAACTTTTCTTACGGCTGTTAAGTGAATCACTGCAGCTGATAAGTTAGTAACATGGGTGTTAAGTGAATGTGGCTTCCCCATTGATTTTGCTTGTCAGAAGGTCACAAAAGGGGATCACATGGCCCTAGGACACAGCAACGGCCATATATGTGAACCAGTTGCCAATCACCTGATTTTGATCCCACAAAAGATGCTGCAAAAGGTCGTAACTGTGAAAAAACGGCCTTAAGTCCCTTTTTTCAGTGCCGTTGTAACTTTGAATGGTAAAGAAACTGTGATAAGTCCAGGACTACCTGTATAGGTTATATGTAAGGGGGGGAGGGGGGGAAGGAACAACATCTGCCCCTCAAAAATTATTACAATAATTCAGGCGCGGGAAGGGGGGGGGGAATTTGGGGACAGATTCTAAACTTTAAAATACCTTCCCAGAATCAAACTCAATGGGGGAATTCACTGGATTCCCTTAACAGCAGCGATTTGATTAACAACCTTGGCACACACACAAAAAAAGTTCTTAAAATTGTATGTGACTCACTCAACAACCCCCTTGTTTAGCCATGGGAATTCTGGTGTCAAATGTGGTCGTAAGCTGAGGATTACCTCTGTCTGATGCTTAAAAGGCTGCCATTCTGTGGCCTCACCCCAAATCCCCACAACAAAGGGAATATTTTAAGCAAAAGCAGATTTACCTCCCACCCCCCTCCCTGAAACTATCCACTTGGATTCCACCCCTTCTGCTAAATCACATTGATGGTTTGTTGTCCTCCTCCCCCTCTATGGGGGG